CAATACATACCCCTCCAGGTTCAATACATACCCCTCTAGGTTCAATATTCTAGACAAAAACTTAGCAGCAATAGTCCTTCAGGTGTAACTGTGAAGAATGATAATCTTAAAACTTCAAATGATAAGGATTATAAGATTAGAAGATGTGTTCTATCAAAATAGAGAATTGGTTGTTGACCTTGGACTTTTTCCTAGGAAAGTTGTTTAACCTCCTGTGTCCTTTTAGAGAGAGTCTTGGGAATTTGGAAGAGAAAACATTTTTTTGGGGGGGCAGATCTGCATTATCATTACTAGAAAAAGGAAGTTTCCTTTAAATTATAGCATTATTTATAGAGATCAGTGGAATTATTTCGCACTGTTTTGAAAACCCAGAAGATTCATTTTTCTGTATTCCAATACAGAGAAATAAAGAAACATTAAATGTGGAAAACTGAAGAGTTTATTTTTTACGAGTCTTTGGTTACTCTTCCACAAAGCCCTATGAATACAGGAATAAAACTTCCATTTTGAGTAGTGGTCAAGTAAAGGTTCCAAAGGCCTCCATGGGAACTGGTATTTTACTTGGCAAAAAGAGACATTTACATGGATACCTGACATCCTGCTTGGCAAGTTAAAACATGAATGTTACACAAGACAAGTCCCATTCTGGTGGACAAGTTAAGAAATGAATATTAGATAAGCAAGTCCCTGACACAGTTGAACAACCCATATTCCTAAGGGAATCCTCTTATCCCCAAATCCTGATTGGTGGAATAATTTGGCACAGATTTTTGCAGATCTCAGGTCTTAAAAGCCCTGTAGAACCTTAAGTGGAGGCCATGGTTCAGCTCTGGAGTTTGAATTGTATCCCTAGTCAATCAGTCTTGAGGTGTGGCAGTCAATAAACCATGGCTAGTTGACTGAGACCAGTGTCTGAGTGGTTTGTATGGCAATTTCCAGACCCCAAAAGTAACTGAGAATATTGATGCACTTGTCTTAATCAATATGTATGCAACTTAAGGTATGGGCCCTTACATACACTTCAGCTAAGAACAAACTATCGATATTATTTCACTAGTTATAACAAACATGCAACTTGAATGCAAGGTGCCAATTGGTGTAGACACTGCAGTAGCTGTGGGGTCAGCTATCTGGAATGTTCTGTGCTGTTTGCTCAAATATTCTGTCGCCCAATCCTGTGCTAAAAAGGTGTATGCTTTTAAAGAAGAATGAAATTTGTTATTAAAAGTAAGGCTCGATGTGGGAATCAGGCAATCAACTGTTTTATGAAAAAATGCTTGGGAAACATGTCACTAATGTAGATAGAAAACAGTTATGGAATCCACGAGAAGCCACCATTCTTCATGATTACTTTCTTGTAAAGTGGAAAAGAGAGGCAGGCAACTTCAAGAAGAATGTCACTATGCTGGGTGAACACTATCCACACATGGATTTAAAGCTCTTCAGGCTGAGCATCCTGTCTGAATCACAGAGATCTTGTCTATGTGAAAATTATAATGGTAGCTTTTGGGCTGTGGTAAGAATTCAGAGAGCCTGTCCATCTGAAGTGTCACATGAGGACTAGCTTTGCACCCCATTGGATTTTGTCATGATTTTTTAATAAAACCTTTTTGTTAATTCTTTGTGAGTTTCACATCATGTACCACAGTCTTGCTCATCTTCCCATCCCATCATATGTGCTCTTTGCCCTTGCAACCCCCCCAATAAACACACACACCACACACAGACACACACAGACACACACAGACACACACAGACACACACAGACACACACAGACACATACACACAGACACACAGACACACACACACACACACACACACACACACACACACACACCAGCAAAAAATAATGAAAGGACAAAGCATAGAAAGCATCATTGAGGAAGCAGTAGTATGTCAAAGTGTATCCCTGGATATGTCCCTCTGTCTACACATCTTCACTTGCAAATGTTCATTGTTCTTGTTCGAGGTCTCTGGCTTCTGTGACATCATCAATACTGGATTCTCATCAGGACTCCTCCCGGTTATCCTGTTGTTGCCCTGTGCCATGGAGATTCTACAGCTTTGGATCAGCAGGTCTGGCCCTTTCACGAATCCCAACTGTTAGAAGATAATACTGATTTTGAAGTGGACTATCTCAGAGCCCTGGATTTGGGACTGGATGGTAGCAGAGCTGCTCAGCCCACTGGGTCTCCCTTATTTGCACCACCAGTGCAAAGTCTCCAGCACTCCTCTAGCTAGGCCATCCAATACTGCTGTTAGCAGATAGCAGGATCAGCTTTCCTGCAGTCATGACCTCTGTCCAGCTTACCATACCCCCAGGGCTAGCACCACTGTGCTGCCCAGTCAAGGTGCAGGGCCTGTTCTCCTGAGTACTATATTCAGTGAGGGGGCAGGGTTAGCTCCCACACACTCACACCCTCAGGGCCAGGTCTCCTGGACTACCAGCTAGAGCAGGTGGTGATGGATGATGGCGTGGGTATCACCTCCAAACCCAAGCCACCTCAGACAGGGGTTTGGTGGGGCCAGCTCTCCTCTCACTCTCAGGGCTGGCTCATTCGCACCCTTTGACCAGGACCAATCCTGTGCTGCCCAGATGAGTGTTGTAGCCAGTAAGGAGCTGGACCAGCTCACCTGTTTTCATGACCCCAGGGCCAGTTCTCCAAACTGCTACAGGTGGCAAGGGACAAGTGGGGGAAAGGTATTACCCCCATACCTACGGCATCTCATAAAAAACAAGTGGTGGGTCCAGCTCTTCCTCGTTCTCACCCTCAAGGCTGGCTCACCTACTCCCCTACCACCAAGGATCTGCTGTACAGGGGAGGTGCAGGGCCCACTCTCCAGAGTGCTGTAGCTGGTGAGGGGCTCTCTGGGGCTCACGACCCTGTGGAAAGCTTTTTCTATGGCCAGAGGTGGTGAATCTAAACATCACTGCTGCACCCATGCCATGCCATAACAGATGAGTGACAGGGCTAGCTCTCTCATACTCATGTCCTATGGGCAGGCATACTCACACCCTAGCCATCAGGGGCAGATCACTGTGATGTGTGGGTGAGAGTTGGGGCCAGATCTCCAGAGCACCGCATCAAGTGAGGCGCAAGGCCAGTTCTTCATAGCCCCTGAACATCCAGGTGGTCCCTGGTGACTGCCTAGATCAGGGAGAACTCACCCCATGTTCTCTAATGGTAATAGAAACAATGAACATTGATAACAAGCCGTGCTGCTGCATAGCCACGGATGCTGACATGGCCCTCAGAGGCAGCTCAGGCTGGGACCTTACCATGGTCCCAGGTAGAAGATCTGGCCACTCACAGCAGACCTTTCTTTCTTTTTTTTTTTCTTTTTTTCTTTTGGTTTTTCGATACAGGGTTTCTCTGTGTAGCACTGGCTATCCTGGAACTCACTCTGTAGACCAGGATAGCCTCGAACTCTCGAACTCAGAAATCCGCCTGCCTCTGCCTCCCAAGTGCTGGGATTAAAGGCGTGTGCCACCACTGCCCTGCTAGACCTTTCTACTAGAATCTTTGGTTCCATCTTTCTGCATGATGTTCCAGGTGGTCCACTTCTCTTTCTCTTCCATCTGATCACCACATACACACACTTTGCTGTGGCTCTCTTTGCAGGCTGGTGACATGGCTGGCAGACCTCTGGGTGATACCCTCCATCCACGCTGTGTGACATGTTAGCAAGAAGGTGTCTATGGCTCACCTGGGCCATGCACTTGAGGGCTGGTCTGTGGGTGGCATGGTGGCCTATAGGTTTCTGTCTGTCTCCCTCCTCCAGTGTTGTGCTGCTTGGGTTTGATTTGATTTAATTTGATTTTCATGAGTCCTAGACATAAAATGGTTTTGGCCACAAAGCCAAGGATTAAGATAGGATGGACAAAGGACTTCCCTCTGCTCTGCCTCTGACTGAAATAAGAACATTACCAACAAGATGTCTCTTTGCCCATTGCCAAGGGGCATTGTCATGCTTTTTTAAAACAGATGGTAACTGTATTTCCTTAATGCACCTTTGTGTTGATCTAAGAAGACATCTATGTAACCACAGGTGATAGGACATTCCTTGTTGCTTTGATTCAGGTAAAATGTTGGGTCTTGTGTCATAAATGAGCTAAGAAAGAAAAGAATATTCTGGAGTCCAGTGTGGTGATACCCTCCAGTAATCTCAGAACTCTGGACACTGAAGCAAGATGATTACTATGAAGTTGATACCAGGCCGTAGAGAGACCATTAAAAGTGTGTGGGGGGGGGGCGGGGGGGGAGAAGAGAAGAGCAGCAGCATATCTGTTAGGGACTGGAGAGATGTCTCAACAGTGAAGAACACTATGACATGAGTTTGGTTCTCAGCATCCACATCTGAAACCCTCTTCTGGACTCTGTGGGCACTGCACATACCTACATCTATACAAAAGTAACTAAAAATAAATCATAAAATGTATTTAATTGAAATATCTCTGTATCACTTTCTCTTCCCTTCCCTGTCAGCAGACCTTGCCATCCACTCTCCCTCTCAAGTTGATGGACTCTTTTTCATTGAGTATATTTGTTACAGATGTGTGTGTGTGTGTGTGTGTGTGTGTGTGTGTGTGTATGTGTATTCAAATATATATAAATACAGCCCACTGAGTTCCTTTTTGTTGTTTGTGTATACATGGTTTCTGCATTGAACTACCAACAATTAGGCTCATCCCTCAGTCATTATCATGAAATTATCCTCCTATGTAAGCATGTCCATTGATGTTGCTATTATGGTCTTGTTTATCAGCCATTTTTAGGAGACACTATTCCACAGCAGACTTTCTTGTATTCTGGCTTTTACAATCTTTGTACCTGCCTTTCCGTGAGTTCCCTAAGCCATAGACCCAAAGGTTGTGATGTAGACTTTTCCATTAGTGCTGGGCTTCCTACGATCTGTTCATCTCCTATCTGTGTCCAGTGGTGATTTGCTATGGTGGTTTTCATTTGCTATAACAAGAAGCATCTTTGATGAGGGATGGTAGCTGTACTTATCTGTGAGTATAAGGATAAGATTTGGAACATAGTAAGGAATTATCCTGGTTTAGAAAAGTGGTGTCAGTAGATTCTTTTCTACGATCCATGACCTCACTAGCTCTGGGAAGTTGGCTAGGTTTCCAGCACCAGGCGTGATTTCCTTCCTGTTGAATGGCTCTTAATAACAATTAGACAACTTTTAGTTTCCACGAACATGTGAGTGCCACTTACTGCATCTGTATATATATCTTACCACGTTCATAATTACCATGGTTCATAGCACATGCCATAGGACTGTTTGTTTCCCTCCCTTGACAGCTTGCATAGTAGTTTTTGGAACCATGGAATAAGGTTTTCAGGTCAGATACAGCGTGAGTCATCCAAGTCAAGCATCCTAAGTGTGTGATGATGTCTTCAGCAATAGGAGCCACCCTCAAACCCTGAGAGGCAACTGAGAGCTAGGAGTAGCTTGGACTACTCTGACCAACCCTTCAGAAAGAGGTTTCTTGCCTCTCATACTGGAGATTTTGTTAGGTTTATAAACAGAGCATTATCAGTAAAAGAAATAAAAATGGTGAAGAAATACCTATAAAAGTGTTCATCATCTTTAGTTGTTGGGGAAATGCAAACTAAGATAACTTTGAGATTTCATCTCACCCCAATTAGAAAGGGCAAGATCAACAGGACAACTAACAATAAACACTGACGAGGCTGTGGAGAAAGGAACACTCACTCACTGTTGGTGGGAACGCAAACTGGTGCAGTAAACATAGACATCAGTATGGAAAATCCTCAAAAAAAAAAAACACCTAAAAATGAAGCTACTATATGACCTAGCTATACCTCTCTTTGGCAATGTCCAAAGGACTTAACATTTTATTTTACAGATACATGTTCAGCAATGACTATAGCCACCCTATTTACAACAGCCAGAAAAATGACTTAAATGTCCTTCAACAGATGAATGGATAATAAGAATGTATTACAGATACACAACAAAATACTATTCAGTATTAACAAAAAGGAAATTGAAAATTTCAGGTAAATGAATGGACCTAAAAATGATCATATTAAGTGAGTTAACCCAGATCCAGAAAGAAGTTCCACATGTACTCTTCCATCTTCAGTTTCTAGCTGCAAGTCCTCATATGTGAGCATGCAACATAGAATAACCAAAGAGAAAAAAAGCAGCATCAAAGAGTCCAGATGGTCTAAAGGGATCATTGATAGGTAGAGGAGGTGCTGGGAAGAGAATAGCAGGAGGCAGGTGACATGAAATGAGACACAGAGTAGTGGGACAGGGCTCTAACGGAGAGTGTTGGAGGAGGCAGGTCAAGATAGAAGGAAAAGGGACAAATAACACCAAGGATGTTTGAAAAAGCCTCAAGGAGTCATTTTATATAAAAAAATTATGCAAAGTACATATAAATGTACACACACACACAGATAGAGATAGACTAGATAAATACATACAAACAGAGAGAGATAGAGATAGGTAGATAGATAGATAGATAGCTGATAGAGAGATTAAAGAAAGTTAAGCTCATTAAGGCTGATAATGAGCCATAGACTAACAAAAAATAATTCTTAAAAAAAGAAGCCCTCTGGAAGATTTTCAATGGGAAGCATACACACCTTTGATAAAAATGTGTCCACACATTTTTGTTGTTTGGGTATGCATTTCAATGACCATATCACTTGTTTGCCATCTTTGTCTCTGTCTTTCCCCCTTTGTAGTCTAACCCTGAGTGTTGGGCACTTGAAAAAAAAACCTCTTGAATTGAGAGTTACATTGCTCTTGATGAAAAAATAATCATTCTTTTAATAAAACAAAACAAAATAAAAAAAAAACAAGGAAACTTGCTTAATAGATTCGTGGTTATTCAGACAGGACCTACAGAGACAAGACCCACACATCACAGTTAACATGTGACCACATAGACACACAGGTCATAGTAAAATGTTAATCTGGAAACATTTCTTTTTAAGTGTATCTTTCTCGGTTTGCCTTGGAAAGTTCTGTAAAGCATCTGTAGGTTTAAAGGCCGTTCAAAGTGGGCACAGAAAGGAGCGAGATTTATCCCTCTCGGCCTGGTGCCCATTATTTGCCCCGTGTCTCAGAGGAATGTGGACTCTATCATGTTGAACTATATGGAAGCAAGGGAATGTTACAGTGAAACGAGAGACCAAAGCAGGTCATTCGCCTTTGTTGAGCGTCTCCTTCTTGTCAAGCCACCAGTTGTAGCTCTTGCTTGTCACTGGGAGCCTATCACAAAGCCCCTTCTGTTATGACACTGCACCTGAAACTACCACCAGCCAGCCGAGCATAAACAGTAAGGTGGAGCCAACGTCCCAAAGCTCCCTGTGCACAATAGACTCTGCTGTCACGGAGCCACAATCCCTGGCTCTTAGGGTGGTATATTTTTCCTCATCATATGCATGACAGAAAGTCTAATGGAGCCTGGAGTAGCTTTTAAGATCCTATAAAATGGTCTATTATCAGTTTCATCGGTGTCCCCAAGATGTCTCCCTGGATGTCAGAGAGCCCACAGTGGCTGTATTTACAGTCGTGAGGTCAGTTGGGAGTAGAAAATAATTAGCTGAAAGGATGGGGGCGGGGGGCTGTTCGCAAACCAGAATGCAAGCTCACTGCTTTCTCCCTCTAGTGATGAATGAGTGCTTCTTCAATCCCCTTTTGATTATGCTCTATTTCAGTCTTCACAAATGAAGTATAAAATGCACTGGTATGTATATTTCTTAATACACAGTTTTATCTCTGTCTTAATGACAGAAATCTTAAAAACCTGACAAGATCTTATGTCCCAGGTTGGGATACATAATTTTTAAAATTGCACCGTGGTATTGGGGAAAATATACAAAGTAAAAGAACCCTGAAACAGCACCACACAGTCATGTCTGTTATTTTCTAAGATTTAAACATTGCGGTAAAAATAAAAAGACATTTTTGGTGGTTTAAAGTTTTATTTAGTGTATTCTTTAGATAAGCTCTCATTCCATAGCCCAGGCTTGACTAGGACTCACTGTCTGGCACAGGTAGTTTCAAACTCATGGTAATCCCCTGGCCTCAACCCCTGAAGTACAGAGATAGGAATGAGCCACCATGTCTAGCTGGAAAAGACTGTACAATCTTTTTAAAATTATTTCTTTTATTTTCTTCATTAATTTATTTATTCATTCAATTTACATCCTTGTTGCAGACCCCCCCAATCCTCTCCTCCCAGTCCCACCCTCACAAATCCCTCCCCCAACTTCCCCTTCTTATTCTCCTCAGAGAAGGGAAAGCCTCCACCTTCTGGGGTACCCACCAGTCCTGGGACATCAAGTTGCAGCAGGACTAAGTGCATCCTCTTCCACTGAGGCCAGACAAGGCAGCCCAACTTGGGGAAGGAGATCCAACGGCTGGCAACAGTCAGAGACAACCCCTGCTCCAGGTGTTGGGGGAACCCACATGAAGATCAAGCTACACATCTACTACAAATGTGAAGGGGGCTAGGTCAAGCCCCAACATGCACTTTGGTTGGTGATTCAGTCTTTGTGAGCCACCATGCTCCTAGGTGAGTGGACTCTGTAGGTCTTGTGATGTCCAACTTATTTCTTTTACTTTTTATCTTTATTTTTTTATTTTATGTTAATAAGTGCTTTGATGGCATGTATACCTTTGTGTATCACATATGCACGCTCTGCCCACAGATTCCAGAAGAGAATGTTTAATTCCCTGGAGCTGGACTTACAGCAGTTGTGAGCCACCAGGAAGCCAGACATGGGTCCTCTGAAAGAACAGCAAGCTCTCTGAAATTCTGGGCCATTTCTCTAGCACCCTGGAGAAGACTTTAGCATGCCGAAAGTAACACTCTATATGACCTAGATATTATAGTCTAATAAGAGCTGAAACTACTATTTTCACATGTTGGTTCCTATTAACATTCCTGGAGTTCCTGAAATCTTTGTC